AGGCGTGGCGCGGGTGTCTGTTAGTTCCCTGGGATGTGGGGAGTGGGTGTGATGGAGGACGTGGGGGACTTGTGAAGGTATATACTCTATAGTAGTACGCTATTTATGTACTTACGTTCTTATGCCAGTTGGATCGAACTTTAGCTCTTGGACTCTTGGATCTCTTATTGTAATAACTCCTAGGCTATATGTATCCTATCATATCTAGTTTTTAATTACGGGCTCACTATAGCCCGTGCTACATGGACATTTCGTTCTGAGTAACTAAATCTAAAACAACAACAACATCTAGCTTTTAAATAGTAAACTGAGTTGGCTTCTACTACATTTTCGTCTAGTTCGTTCTATTAAACATAACGGTCTTTTCCTAACGGAGAATTGTCTCACATTATGGAGGATATCTAACATGTGTTAGTCAGTTGTTGCTGTTCGTACGAGAGTGTAAGATGGTCAGGTGTTCGTACGAGGAAGGATGTGTGGTGGTCAGTTGTGTGTACGTGGGCGTGTGTGGGCGTGTGGTGGTTTGTTGTTCGCGTGAGGAAGAATAAGTGGGCGTGGAATGGGTGGTGGACGTGGGTGTCGCTCGGGTCTAAACTATTCACCTGTGCGTCATGAATGGTTATACTGTGTGAGTGTCCTTGTCCTGCCAGACCAAATATATGTTTACAATGCTGTATAGTACACACGCAAGGAATAAATGTAATAAATGTATTACCTACCTAGGACATACATAAAAACACATTTTGCATGCTCATTTGTGACTATATGCACATACACAAGAAACAGAAATTCCTAAAGCAGCATATGTACTAAAACTGGCAAAAACCTTTAACCAATCCAGCTGGCTGGCATTTAACAGTATTTAGGTCTCTAACGCCTGCCACCCACCTAACTTTCCGCCCACACAATATCCTATGCTTTCCGCCCACCTTCCCTCCCGTCCAGTCATACCCATGTTGGATATCTCCATGGGAACGCACCTGCCACTAAGGTCCCCGCCGGAAGTGGCAACCTGGCAATCTCACCATCGATACGAGGCTATACTTTGAGACATTAACGTTAGAAGAGAGAGAGAGAGAGAGAGAGAGAGAGAGAGAGAGAGAGAGAGAGAGAGAGAGAGAGAGAGAGAGAGAGAGAGAGAGAGAGAGAGAGAGAGAGAGAGAGAGAGAGAGGGGGGAGTGATTGATTTAGAAATCGAGGATGTCATCCGATTACTATTCAGTTTTATGTTAATAACCTTCGAGCGCTTAGGCTAAAAACTATTCGAGCTCCTGTAAAGTGATTAAGTGATTATTTTGCTGTCTCAATTTTATAGCTTTTACAGTTTAATGGAATTTTAAAACTTGCAGTCAACTATTTGGGATAAATTACAAATGTATGAAGCTTTGTGAAAAATGGCAGGACAAGGGAATCAAAGGATCAACCACCTTCCGTCCACTCTCCCACCTTCCGGCTGACAGTGGATCTTGGCTGTGACAAACACTCCTAGCCTCACCTTCCTTTGAACTATATCCCATGTCATTAAATATATAAATATATATATATATATATATATATATATATATATATATATATATATATATATATATATATATATATATATATATATATATTTGGGGGGTTTGCTGTTAGCAAATATTAAAAATATTTAATATTTTGCTTATTAACTACCCATATTAATATTTAATATTAATATGGGTAGCTAACAAGGAGCAACCGAAATATGTTGGTGCTTTCCATTTACCTGAAGGAGAAATTATCTGAGCCCATTTAACAGACAAATAAACTTTTTGAAAAAGTTTGTAATGATTTCGGTCAAGTTGCTATTGATATCAAACATCGATATAGAAGCGTAAATAATCAATTAAACAGCAAGTAAACTAACTCCAGCATCACTACTCGCCGAGAACACAGGGTAAAAATGAGCATCGGACCTCACCTCAGATGACTTCCGGAGATCTGACCGGATAGACTGCTGGAAACAAAAGGTGGGCGGGAGGGCGGGCCGCGGGAATACTGCATGAATGGTCGTGGGAACCTCCTTTTTTTGGGCCGGAAAAGGGAGGGTAGTGGGGCTGGGGGTCAAATAGCGGATGTACCTCGGGAGGTAAAGGAAGGGGTGGGTGGTTGGGGGAGGAGGATGCTTTCGAGTATCTGTTACCTCTCGTGCGTGGCGATGGAAGGGTAATTAAGGGTGGTAAAGCTGTTTCAGAGGATTGTTCTGGAATGGATAGTAATTATATACAAATGTTGAAAAATGTGTATGATTGTATAGGCTACTTATGCACACCCATAGTTGATTAGTAGTTAGAAGCCGACGACCAGGAGCCGGAAATCGTTAGCAGCAGACACATGCAGGTTAACTTATGAATTTGGGTGAGTACACTCACCCAAGTAGTGTACTAAGTGGAGCACTGCCTCGTATAAGTACCACATAGCCTCAGCCTTCCATGAACATCCGGGACAGGGCAGGTGTAAGCCAATACCAACTTTGAACACACCCTCGAGAATTTAACAACAGAGGGTTATTTCCTAGGAATTTAAACATAATCTAGTATGGCTGTGGTTGGCATATTCAATATAATACTTTAGCACGTTACTTATTTTTTATGTAGACTAGTAAGTCAAAATTCAAATTCAAACTTAAAAATTGTACATTTCTAGTTGAGTTTACACAAAATTACAAAATATTATTTATCTAACAGAAAATCCTAATAGCACAACACGTGATCATTATAATTATATACTAAGTAATCTAGATTTAGATGTAGAACTTATGGTGTACAGGTATTTGTCAGTGATTCGCAAAAAAATTACTACAGTTCTGAGTGGTTTTAGTCATACAAAACCTGGTTTTGCAGGCTAATTTAAATTATGGTCTTAGATTTTGTCCTCAAAATATTCTAAAAATTCTACGTTATATTGTATAATATTCTGTATAGTGTTAGGCTTCACTTCTGTATAGTGTTAGGCTTCTTAGGCTACAAAAATGGGGCAATTTAAACTACGTTGCTGTATCAAATATGGAATATTTTTACTAATATTGAAATAGTCAAATTTCAAAATCAAATCAAATGGTTATAATATTTATTATGTATCTTCTTGAGGTTATCTTGAGATGATTTCGGGGCTTTAGTGTCCCCGCGGCCCCGGTCCTCGACCAGGCCTCCACCCTCAGGAAGCAGCCCGTGATAGCTGACTAACACCCAGGTACCTATTTTATTGCTAGGTAACAGGGGCATAGGGTGAAAGAAACTCTGCCCATTGTTTCTCTCCGGCGCCCGGGATCGAACCCGGGACTACAGAATCATAAGTCCAGCGTGCTGTCCGCTCGGCCGACCGGCTCCCTACTTTATTAATATGTATGAAACATATTAATAAATTATTCTAAAGTAATCTCATTACCATGGTTTAATTACCGTTTTATAAACAAGATTAATAAAACGAGGAAATTCTTAACAATCTAGCCGATTATCATATATGAACCGTTGTATATTGAAAACAAATATATACATAATAAAGTACCATAAAAAATACATAAACCTGAGTTCTTAAATACAAATCCGTATTTCACTTCATTGTACTGATAAGTAGCATATAAATAAATATATAAATATATATGCTCACGTATCTATCCTCATCTTTAAAACCAATGACGCCAGTTTCTGAGAAATCTAACGTACGAATGATTGACGGATTTTTTTATCGGATTGTATTACGTATGCTCAGCTTAAGACGGATGATTTCGTAATTGTGGGTGTATTTTGACGATTTATCAGTTCCAAGCGACATTTCGTAGAAGTTTATGCGCGGTGATCCTGTCTGCCAGCGACCTGTCACGAAGTCGCGCCATTGAAATGTTGGTAATATTGATTACCCGCGTTTTTTCTGTTTGTTGTTTAGTTAGTGCATCTATGCTTGGAAATTCAGTCTTCATAGCAACTGTAGAGGTCACCACACCCCATCGCAACCACAGAGCGGCATCCCAGCAACTGCAGAGCTGCACCTCCTGCACCTGTAGAGCTGCACACATTACCGCAAATGTCAGCGTCACCCCCAGCAACTGTAGAGCGGCATCCCCGCAGCCGTAGAGCTTTATCTCTAGCAACTGTAGAGCGGCATCCCCGCAACTGTAGAGCTTTATCCCTAGCAACTGTAGAGCGGCACCCCCGCAATTGTAGAGCTTTATCTCTAGCAACTGTAGAGCGGCACCCCCGCAACTGTAGAGCTTTATCTCTAGCAACTGTAGAGCGGCACCCCCGCAACTGTAGAGCTTTATCCCTAGCAACTGTAGAGCGGCACCCCCGCAACTGTAGAGCTTTATCTCTAGCAACTGTAGAGCGGCACCCCCAGCAACAATTCCCACACCAAGTATACCCCGCACTAATTGTATCACTGCAGGTGTGAATTAACCACATTAGTTATAACTTTGAAATGGTACGAAACTGCGTGCGTGCTTATCCAAGAGAGCTTTTTACCTGTTGATATTACAACAGCCTGCGCACTCAAACACACACACACACACTCACACACACTCACACTCACACTCACACTCACACTCACACTCACACTCACACTCACACTCACACTCACACTCACACTCTCACTCTCACTCTCACTCTCACTCTCACTCTCTCTCTCTCTCTCTCTCTCTCTCTCTCTCTCTCTCTCTCTCTCTCTCTCTCTCTCTCTCTCTCTCTCTCTCTCTCTCTCTCTCTCTCTCTCTCTCTCTCTCTCAAACTTCTATCAAATCACACATATGAAAATTCTATCAAAGAACACATAATTTATACACACACACTCAGACAATCATCGGAGACATTCTGACCAGTAAAACTAAAATAATTGACAGACGCAACGACGATAGAAAATAGATTGATTGTTTGGCTTGTTTCAATTAGTTTTAGTGCATAATTGGTGTTAACATATTAATATTACAATATATTATGTGTTATTAAATGACCTCATTACTCAATGTTTTAAATCTTCCTCACATAAAGGAGAGCTGCTGCGCACGGGCCAGGCGTCATCGTGACCACAGTGTGAGGGTAGGCACCTGTGTGTGTAAATATTCATGTGGATTTGTGTGTAGGCGCCATGTGCGTGTGTTGACGTGTGTGTGTGTGTAGGCGCTGGGCTTATGTGTGTTCTGTGTGGAGAGGAGTTACTTAAGTGTGACGTGCATGGCTTCATTTTTTTGGCCTTTTTGATCTTTTCCCACCAATATTTGTTAGCTGTCAGTTGTTAGTCACATTGTTTTGTCCATCATTGTATTATGTATTTTGAGCTGCTTCTTGTACAATTCTGGATGATTATGATGTTCAGTAATTCGATATTGTGTTTTCCAGTAGTTTTGTTATTCACCTTTCTGGCTGCTTTAATTTGCAAGCCTATTTTCTCTAATCCGTTTCGTGTATTTCCTGTTTTTTTTGTATATTTTATAAGCTGTAAATACAACTAGAAGATTAAATGACAGTAGGCCTAACACATGTGGGCATGACGTGTCTAGAAATTACGTTCTCACCATCTCACAAACACAAATTTGTGCAGTTTGTACAGTACCATAAGCATACCAACCTTCACTCACCCTATTTAATTTTGTAAAGAGTTATTCGTTGCTTTTATTTTTACTGTGCCACTTGTGTCAATAGCATACAGGTATGGTGCATGTGTATATAAGTTATATCCAGGTTACTTTTAGTCTTTAGGGTCCAAGAGCTAATACGCGATCCTGCAGACACAAATAGGTGAGTACACGCACAGATAGATCCCAAAAATAGCTAAAGCTTAAACTTTCACAGACCCGTAAACCTCCAAATTATTCAATAGTACGTGGACCAAGGTTAGATTATATTCCGTGCCTTAATATTACAGTCTAGTGATCGATAGTTCAGGAGATGCTAATTTGTACCAAGCTAAGTATCAGAAGGAAAGTTTTGAAAATTAATACTATTACATTACAAATACAAATACAAATATTTATTCAGGTAAAGTACATATATACAAGGTGAGATACAAAAGTTGATGGATTTATAGACAGAGCTAGTACATACAATGCCTAAAGCCACTATTACGCAAAGCGTTTCGGGCAGACCAAGTTACATTGGTAGACCAAGTTCTTTAGTAAGAAATGTCATCCAGTACATTAGTATTACTTAATTTGACGTGAGATCCATAGTGTTATAGGACTAGGAATAAAAAAAACTACAAGCAGATGTCCATCCAGAAGAACTCAATTGCACAAACACGCCTTGTGAAGGGCAGTTAGAAAATACGTAGCATGGTAAATCAAGGGCTGACGTTATGCAGCAGCCACGTGTTGCAATCTGCGACCTTCTCCAGCTCTGACCCGCTGTGGTGAGTCCATGACCCAAGCACTCGGGCTGGACGGTAGAGCGACGGTCTCGCTTTATGCTGGTCGGCGTTCAATAGGTTGGTGATTGCGGAGCCCAGGAACTGATACTCTTCCAGCAAGCATATTTAGGTAAGAGTACCCACACGCGCAGACTAGTTTCACTGCCCCCAACTTTATCTTGCCTTGATTTCAGGGTTCAAGGTCCCCGCGGCCCGGTCTCTGATCAGGTCTCATAGTTGAAGGTCTAGTCAACCAGCAGTTGGACGCGGCTGTTCGCAACCTGACGTATGAATCACAGCCTGGTTAATCAGGCATCACACACATAATTAAAACAAGATACAAATTAATAATTAGTGTCTTGCATGGGTGTCTAACTTGGAAATTACTAATCCAAGAATAACACATCCGAAATCAATATTTAACATAAAGTATTGAATATCATGCTTCTTGCATTTAATTAGAATTGCTCTAAGCTGTTAAGCAAAGAAATTACATTATCGTTAAAAACATCGGAGTAAGCTAGGCTTTTGGCGAGTCGTTTATTAGTGTAAACAATCCATCACGCGAAATTCAAACTGAAACAATCATCCATGAAACTTTCTGAGGATTGCATTATAAGCATTGTGTCCCCAAAACCTCTTGTGTTTTGGGGACTTAAAATTCGCGGAAGGATAAAGCTGACAGAGACCCGTAAATTGGAAGGGCGGTGGCACTTTTGAATGCACTGGCCCGTGTGTGAGTTTGACCGGCATGCACGTGGAGGATCAACGTCCCGAACAGTGTGAGCTGGATACAAAGTTCTTTAAAACGTTATGACCTTTGTCTACTCTAAATTACATAAGCCTAACCCTGTTTTTTTTAATGGTGAGGCCAGGATAAAAAAATTATATCAACTATGGAAAAAAAGACAGCTGTTTTAATATATGTATAAAATGAGTGCCAAGGAAAATTAAAAAAATATAATTACCAATATGAAACGATATCTTTGAAATTAAAACGAGACTTGTAACACTTTTCTTTTAATTGAGACTTTTAAAACAATCTATTTCTTTTCCTGACAGTCGATTTGTTAGGAAATATATAATGTGTTGTTGCTCTAAACTTTCAATCCATGGGTGTGAGATTTTATAAAATATCAACATGCGACACGTGAAGAAAATGCATTCTAAATTTGCCAGCTCTTAGTCATACAAGCGGAAGTGATGCTGTGTAACGCAGCCGTCAACCCATTTGACACAGAAATTCATATATCCATGACTAACCTAAGCTGATTGCTTACCAGCTCTGAATTGAAATGTAAAAAAGAACATCTCACACGACTATGTTTTGTGTACTTCAGTATCAACACTGAGGTAAATATTTGTACAATAATAATTCGCATGCAGTGTGTAGAGACACGCAGCTTAGTGTCAATAGAAGATCGGGGCGTGTGTTGAAGCTTAGTGGTATGGATCTTGGGAGGTAATGCAGCTCCCCTCGGCCCTTAGCTTCACCAGCTCTAGTTGTCAGGCAGCAGCTTAATCCTCTACTCTTTACTCACTTAAAAGCAAGCCGCAACGGCTCCACCCACTGATTAATCCCGTCCCCGGAAGAGAACACCCTCCATGATACCCCCCCACCCCGCGTAGAGAACACACCCCAGATACCCCTCCCCCCACCTAGGTAGAGAACACCTCCCAGATATCCTTCCCCCTCCTAGGTAAAGAAGACACTAAATCTTTCTTAGTTGCATACGATTGAAGTGTGTTCAATCCTAATTTAACAACAACAACGATGACATCAGAAAAATGGAGTCGTGTGTTACGATTTGATAATGGTCCAGGATAGACCGAAACGTTGTCGTTTCTGCATTTTCTGTTGTGTGGTTTGGTCATTATATCTTTAGCCATGTTATTGTGACTCATTGTTTGCAACAACAACAACAACCTTTCTTAGTTAAAAATATAAAATCAAGGGCATCCACTGAGGGCTTTGGTCCAATGCAAGCCACCTCCACTCCCTCGTAGGCTTTCTTTCCAATAAGTTTGTTTCAATTATATGTCATTATGTAACTTGTTCCACAGATATGTAACCCCCTATCGGTGTTTCAGTGTTCTCTAAAATACTTTTAGACCCTCCCCAGAAAAAAGACAATTACTTGATCAAATAATTGGATTCCGATAGATTGGCAGGGTTTTTATGCGCGATATTGATATTGCATGCTACAATTACATCACACGGTGGAGGTTTCTTTACAAATTGAAATTAAAGACGTGGGGCTGACAGGTAAATTAGGGGTCCGATAGAAACGATAACAAGGTCAAAGTTGCAAAGTCAGTTTTGTTTTTTCCTAATAATGAAATATGACGGTATAATTCTTCATTAAAGTGATGAAGTCTTACCTGTTTTTGCTCTTTGGTTCGCAGTCTTATACATGAAGAACACAATTAAGCGATTTCTCTCTTGTGCAGAAAAGGTCCGGGAAGATGTAAGTTCTGTCCATTCACTGATCACTGGTTAGAGAGGGTTAAGGAGTGGAGTGTGTGGCCCCTCCTATAGCACTGCTCACTCAAGACTGAACAGTTACCTCATAAGCTGACCCCGTCAGTCTAACCTCACATGTTGAAACCTGCTTGCCTCTCCGAGGCGCCATGCTGGAGCTGTCTGTAGCGTGCGTGTCGTGTTTAAACCAGTACTCAGGCACCCTCGACGTAATCATTTCAAAACCACTGACGCAAAATAATATTATATAACATATCACCTAATTCGTGTTTCGGGTGTAACATCGCTTTAGAGGTTACACAACCGTGTACAATGTATACTCGCCAAATGTTTCTCTATTTACGTTTTTCGTGTCGTAATATGGATGGAAAGATGTTATGGTTTATAACAAGGATAACGCAAGATGTGTTAACGATATTTCATTACCTCTTTGATGGGCAATTGTAAATATAAGAAGGTGTCTACTCGTTGGACCCGAAGCGGAAGTTCATGGGCAGAGTTCGCCAAAGCCTCGTGGTAGGTTCAATTTTTATTTTGGTCAGTGATGACAGTTTTTGCCACGGCTTCTCTCTAGATATTTTTACAGGTAGCTGTGCTATGTTAGGGGTTAGGCCTGGTGCCAGGTACTGGAACCAGTTAGATCATTCACTGACATAAGTATATCTGCGTTATGTGTCGAGTTGCCTCCATTGTTTGACGTAACCCATGTAGTTTGCTCATTATTGAAAAACAAAATATTAAATTGATTTTTACAAAGAACTATTTCGTCGCAATGTTTTACGAGCATTTATGACAATTTTTTGTCCTGATATCGTAATTTTGCATCCTTCTCTGTTCATCTTTTCCCCTATTTACTGGGTGCAGTTGAGACCGGAAGCAATGTGGCGTTATTAACACGCGTCAGGACATCATCTCTACATCCCGCGCCTCCACAACAGCTGACACGTGTCAACAATGTGTCAGTTACCTTGATTTTTCCCAAGTTTCTAGAGAGCATGCAGATTACACAGAAACCAAAATACATTAAAGTCCTGAAGGATTTTTTGTCTTTATTGTCGCAAAACAGCAATAGCAAGACTTGCTGTGTGGTTTATTATGATTTTACTTGCTTGAGCTGTTGGGCATGCTTTTTAATGCAATGCCATGTGCTACTTTTGTGTTTAGTTATGTGACATTGCCCGTTAGTAACACATGGTTTGGGATTCTAAATGGATGATAGGAGTCACTGACATGCCAAACAAGCGCCGATGATGATAACACAGATTAATATTAACTTGGCGTGTCTTTGTTTAGCCTCAAGTAATTTATGCGTTAAAGAAGCGCGTATTTGGCAAAATTCCCCTCACTAGTTGGGGTAAGGCGGGAAAGTTAATCCCTCAAGCTGAGAAATGACTCTGCGATTGTATTCACATTAAAATTAATTTTAGTCTACAGTCTATCTTGATCCCACGAACTGTAATGCACCCTGTATATATTACAGTGAACACAAGGCCCGCTTATAAGTACAGAAAATATGACGGGTATGATAACTGCGTCAAGATCGTGCTCGCCATTGGGTGGGAAGCCATTACCATATTTTTGTGAGGGCTTAATTGGCCAGCACCATTCACAACCAGCGGTAACTATTTCATAGTTCATCACGGATAAATGGTGTTTTGAAAGAGTCCTAACCGAGAAAGTATAAATAGCACACACACATATCTCTTGAAAAAGTGTGGAGGCCTTTATTATTTTTTTGTGAATAGGAAAGGTTGACTCGTACGTCTGGAATGGTGGGGGTTGATGCCAGTAGCATTTAGCACGCATGGCGTGTGGGCGGCTGTCACCTCGTTGTTGGTTGGTCACGCGGGTCTCTCATCTTCCACACATCGAACACTTTATGTAGGGCATACGTAAATCTGTGTATCTATGTATTTACATATGTAGGTTAGCTTAGTATTTTAAAAGCACCGATTCACCTTCTTTGGTTGATTGTTCAATAAACTCTTGAACTATATGTTTAACACATCTCTAACCCTGTCCATGGAGGACAGAAGAAAATGTATATATGCTGGTTAGCATTGTAAATGTGTGGCCACGTGTGTGGTAGAAAAAAAAATCTTCCTCACACCCCGGTGTGAGGAAGAGGTCGGGAGCCGGTCGGCCGAGCGGACAGCACACTGGACTTGTGATCCTGTGGTCCCGGGTACGATCCCAGGCGCCGGCGAGAAACACTGGGCAAAGTTTCTTTCACCCTATGCCCCTGTTACCTAGCAGTGAAATAGGTACCTGGGTGTTAGTCAGCTGTCACGGGATGCTTCCTGGGGGTGGAGGCCTGGTCGAGGACCGGGCCGCGGGGACACTAAAGCCCCGAAATCATCTCAAGATAATCTCAAGAAACCCCATTGATCACCCTGCCTTCTCAACCTCCTTTTCTTATCAATTTTGCATATAATTTTCAATATTTGTTTTATAATATTCATCATGACAGGAAGAACGTATCTATACAATTAATCCATAGTAAGAAATATGTATGAGATAATTATATCACATAAAGACAGCAAGACTGGTTAATTGTGAGTACGGGGTGTTGGCTGGTCTTATTCTCACAATACAGGAAGGTCACCAGAATGACTAGGCTTCCGCTGTAGCTCGCTAGAGAAGTGTGGTGCGGTAACTTGTGCTCCCTTTACTTCTTAGCATCAATGTAGTTTTTTCGCCTGCATTTAAATTATAGAATAACACAGTGAGCTTAGTTCCCGATATAGTAGTACTGCCACTACGGCCCTTTTTATAGATTATTGCATTTAGACACGCATTCAGGATGTTCATAATGTTTACCATATGCTCATGTTAATAATTTACTAGCGTTAATGATGTTTATAATCAAGAAAGATAATCGCAAACTTGATCAAACAAATATGTATCGAAAACAAGGAGTACTGTGTGGTATTGAAGTAGTTTGTAAGTTGTACAGCAATTTTTCTAATTATATATTAATGTTAATTGCAGGTGGAGTCCATGCATGGAGAAGAGGAGAACGAATGTAATGTCGTCTGCAGAAATGAACAGGTGAGAATAACCTCATTGTGGTTATAGTATATATCATCTTGAGGTTTTTTTGTATAACTGCCTAATTTTTGTGCAAAAAATGCAATCGTTTCCTTGGCAGGTATTTCTAGCATGGCCTGACAGGTGAGTACAGCCAGCATTGTTATTTGAGTTTTACCTTAAGGTGTGGGTGTTCCCAACTTTACCTAGGATTTGGCCGTCTCCACATACACACACACACACAGCCACAGGGGGCCTGGTATCCTGGTGGATAGCGCGCAGGACTCGTAATTCTGTGGCGCGGGTTCGATTCCCACACCAGGCAGAAACAAATGGGCAAAGTTTCTTTCACCCTGAATGCCCCTGTTACCTAGCATTAATTAGGTACCTGGGAGTTAGTCAGCTGTCACGGGCTGCTTCCTGGGGTGTGTATGTGTGTCTGTGGTGTGGAGAAAAAAAAAGTAGTTAGTAAACAGTTGATTGACAGTTGAAAGGCGAGCCGAAAGAGCAAAGCTCAACCCCCGCAAACACAACTAGGTGAATACACACACACACACACACATATATATGTTTGTTTCACATATAGGCCACGAGGTATTGGGTGTGGGCGTGTGTGAGGAATGCGCCGTAAGTGTGAGGTGTTAGTCGGGGCAGCTGTTGGTGCCGGGAACAGGTGCAAGGTCTTCCAAGTATCCTACTAATCCAGAAAATAATGAGCGAAGATTTGCCAGCAGCTGATGGTTTAAAGGAATCATCATGGGAGACATTGATGATTCTTGAAGAAGCACTTTAAATTTATCTGAAATATGAAGCACTGTGCTCACTTTAAACAATGTTTGATTTCGTTTAGTAAAAACAGTATTTAGTAATTGTAGCAAATTTTTTCATATCAGAAAAGAAAAGTATATTATATAAACTTGATTTGTGTGTTCAAAGTTTTTTTTTTCAGTCATATATGGAAAATATATATACCCAGGCGTATATTTGTTATTTTGACATTATTTTTGAGTGAACATAATATTTTTGAGTGTACTATGTTCAGTGTAGTGTGGACCAGCAGTTCTCCTATACCATTATATAAATGCTGTTATATACATTTCACCTTTCATTGTGTCATAATTTATGTCACAACTACTGCATTAATTAATACTCATAAAAGTAATAACAATAATAATCATAAAAATAACCACGAGAGCTAAAATAGTAAGGTTGGAGGGTGGGGTATGGAGGGGGCCCAGCCCCAGGGCAGCAACTTGAGCTGCCAGCAACACCACAAAAACTTAAAGTTTCTCATCGGTGGATCGCAAAGACCTCCACCATCTGTTACCCATTATGATATCTCGCTAAGCATTCATTGTCACCAGTCTTCATTTTTTATAAGCGTGCCTTCACTATTTCTCTTCGTTTCACGCTATCTTCCATTGTCGCGTTTATTTTGGTGGCAAGGTAATAAATGTTTTTCTGAGTGAGTTGCTGGTGTTTGCTATGGTTTATGAGCGCCATACCTAGAGAACCATTTTGGTGTTTCGTCAATTGATTTGCCTCATTTGAGACAAGACGGAAGTAATTAAAAAAAATTAACGTACCTGTAATGGTTTTTAGAGATATCTGATTCATTGTAATTGTGGTTTATAATTGTTGGATATTTAGCTATATACAAGTTAATCATGTAATATGTATACTAAACGGAACCTCGTTTGACTTTATAATAAGACCTCTATAAAATGAAACCCTGTGAGCTCTTTATGTTTATGGCAGCTTAAGAGTAACTTAATACGAACGTTCCAATGTATATAAGACGCATTCCATCAGCAGCAATTAGGATCATTTGCAAGGGTTTTTCTCTCGTGGCGTGTGAGAGCCTGCTAGGCTAGGTGGTGTGGTCTCTGTTCACTTGTTAATCTCACGTTGATTATCTCTTATAACACCGCCAGTAGTATATATCTTATCTATGTGTGGGTTGCATTGTCTGATATGAATACAGAATATCCTATTTATTTTTTAAGTTGGTTTTTATTCGTTTAATACCGAAGGTTCTTAATTTTTTCGTGGATAAGGTTTTTGGTCGAGGATAGTCACGTGACTTACCTTTTCGTCTGATAATTACTTCCTTAAAGTCTCAAATCCGTTTAGGAATTACAGTATAATATTTTCCTGAGTGGAAAACATTCCCAATGTTTAGGTAAACGTCTTATATTGTGCTTATGGATATGTAACCCACTGTGGATTTGCGTCTCGCTAACTTCAATATAATGGAGTCTGCTAAAGTGATCGCTTTAACTTTCGCAGTCCGCAAATGCTAATTATTTTGTTTTGTCGGAGAGAGGAAGCCTATAAGTCCTGAACCTTCCGTTGGACGACTCACAATGGGAGCAAGCAACTCTCCCTGTAAGACTTAGCGGCCTTGGTGTCCGCACAGCCTCCCAGATTGCTCTACCAGTCTTCCTTTCCTCCCCCATGCCTTGTACGACCTCGTAACAGATATCCTACCAGAACCCCTGAGTATTTCAGCAGGAATACACGATCCTGTTTTCACGGAATGTTCAAATCAGTGGAATGCTCTTGCATCCCCAATACCCATCATAGATCCAACAAAAAACCATAAACAGTCCAGCTGGGACCACCCACTAGTGGAAAAAATAGTTGACGCCATGCTCAGCGCTGCAAGATCAGATAAGGAGAAAGCCCGCCTCAAAGCAGTGCGTGATTCCCCATGCAGAAGACTTCCTTCTGGCTGTACCCGTGTCCGCAGCAGGCACGCGTCTCGATCCAGAATCCCTTGTGCAGCAGTGGCCCCTCAGCCTTGGTGCCCCAATTCACACTGCACTGAATACAAGTGTATTTGCAACAGGGTGGAAGCAGAGCAATATGGACTGCATGGGTTGCACTGCGTAAGCTCCAAGGGCTGGCATGCAAGACACAACAAGATGAATGACATATTCATCTTGTGATAGAATGATGGAATCTTGTTGCTTCCATTCCATCATGTATTCCATCATCCTGTGATGGTATTCGTAGACACAGCGATGGTAAAGGGAGGTAATGGTAACGCTAGGGTTCACGATGCTGATGGTGACAGCCGTGGTGGTGATGGTGATAAGCTAGGGTTGATGATGACAGCCGTGGTGGTGATGGTGATAAGCTAGGGTTGATGATGACAGCCGTGGTGGTGATGGTGATAAACTAGGGTTAATGGTGACAGCCGTGGTGGTGATGGTGATAAGGTTAGCGATGCAATGATCCACTTGACGGGCTCCACCTGTCGTCAATGGTTCAGATGAACGGCCACAGGAAGGCGCTAGGCTCCGCCTCTCGCTTCACTCACACCGGAATTCCTTACTCATTTCCACCCAAATTATCAATGAATATGGATGAAGCACCAAGTGCTGACAACACCAGGTATGTCGAAAGCACCAGATGCTGAAAACACTAAATATGAAGGATGTTGTTAACATAGTGTGTTTAGTTATATAAAAATCAGCGTAGTGGTTTCATTTTGTTGTGCATCACTATATATTACCTAACCCGGCAACAGTCACATAATTTATAGCTTTTAGGCGAATAGCCGCAGAAGTATGTTAGAAAACATGTAGATATAACGGCATCTGTTTCAGTTTGTCTTTGAAGTAATGGGTACGTAAATAGTTAAAAATATGAGAGGACGAAGCTTTCTTGCCCTAAAACTCCCCCTGCTATCATCCGTCCCCCCCCCCCCCACCCCCCCTCACCTCCCCGTCTATCCTAGGCAGGTGTCTGTTTCTCCATGGGAACGACCGTCCCAACTGCCCGGCGGATGGCAAGTGTTTGGTCCATGTCTCCGGCCAGTCCTCACACCTGCCGGAGGACATCCCTCCCTGTGTTGTCCGCCAACTGGAACTTGTGGGTGAAGACATACCTGGTCCTTAATTAGATCTATTGTCGACTATAGGCCACATGTTTTGTGTACGTTTGGGTGGTTATTTGGTGTGATTTATTTGATGTACAGGTATCTCTCCTGTCCCTTATTCGATGTATAGTTATATCGCCTGTCTCTTATTTGATGTACAAGTGCATCTCTTGTATCTTATTCCATAATCATCTCACAGTTGCCAACCCCTTTCACTATTACCATACATCTCTCTCCTCTCCACCCATCCTTTAACCATTTTCCTCGTCTCCTAACTACATTCACATTCTCTCCATCTCCCTCATCCCTCCCCCACCCAACCCTCTTTATCATTCCCTCCCGCACAACCCCCCCACTGCCACCCCTCTCCCTCTCTCACTACCCCTCACCGCCTCCCCTCACTCTCCCTCAGCCCTCCCACCACAGGTACACCTGTCTTCCGGCCGGCCCATAATCGCCCTACACCTGCACCAGGCGTTCCGGGTCCCTGGTATTATGGGAATGAAATTTGGTCTCATTATCTACCCAAATTCCACACATAGCATTTTGGAGGAGGAAGCTCTAGTATAATTATCGGAATATTCAGGATGTAGGTTTTTTGGAGGATGCCTTTGTCAATGGTCATATATATGTGAATATTCATGAAATTTGCATTAGGCTTTGTTTCTGATATTAATATACTATACCTCTTTTTGTTATTGTTGACATTCCAAAAATAATAAAGCTTAAATACGTCATCAAATAAGGAAAATCGAATCGTAATTTGGAGGCAACCCGGCCTACAAAAGTTCTCACAGATATGGGCATATTGGGAGGTTATTGCGCCCCTAACTCACCATGTGAGGGTTACATTACAGCACTCCCAATACAGACCCCATTGAATGGTGGTTTATTGTACACCTCATACTCGTCATGTGGGCCATTGTGTATTGTTAACATTTTTCAAAATATTTTTCGGGCGTTTCATATTTTATTAAAATATATTATTAAGCTTAAAAATGTAGGCTACGTTATACACTCTTGTGTCATTGATGTAGTGTTTAGAGTCTAATGATGGTAGACTATAAGGTAGCTCTAATCTGCATGAGAGGTTTTTCGTATTTCTGCTACTGTGCCAGAATTTTGAAGTTCCGGA